TTAGGAACAAATTTAAAAAAAAAATTGTGAACACATTTTAGGAAAAAATCTTTTGAACAAATCTTTTGAACAAATCTTTTGAACAAATCTTTTGAACAAATTTTTGAACAAATTTTCGAACAAATCTTTTGAACAAATTTTCAGAACAATCAGATCAGGTCAAAACTTGTAACCAGAAGATACAACTCGAAGTTGTGCTTCCGTCCAATTGATGAATGTACTTTCCATTTAGCTCCATGTTGGCTGGCTCTTTAGCTGTTAAATGCTAAAGTATGCTAAGTATTGGATACATGTTTTATAATAAAATACAAAGTTTTTCACGTACGTTTTTCTCCTTTATAAGATTCATTTTTTAAAAATGACTAAATGAGCCTCTGAGCAGCTTCGTTCCTGAGGCAGCTCAGATTTCCCTGCTGCTACTAGCATAATGAAAACATTTAAAAAAAAATGAACTCAAGGGAGGAGAAGCTGCAGCTACCTGTCGAGTTGGCAAAGGCGTTGTCCAGACCTTTGCTCAGCGGGGTGGCAGGGAGGGAGAGCGAGGCCTGCACAGCACTGTCCATCTTCACGTTGTCCTGTGTGGGCGAACTCGGAGCCGACATCCTGGTTACATCGACCTGCCGCTCTCTCACAGCCAACTCCTGCCGCAAATCTGCAGAGAGAAAGATCTGCTGAGGACACAAACCAAAAGAAATCCCTACGAGTCTGTAAGAGCTTATTTTAAACCGTCACAGTAAGAAGAACGGGGACACAGCAGCCACGTGTTGGTTATCTGGAAAAATCGAGTCAATAATCACCTCTGGCTTCATCCTTCAGCCTCTGCACAGACACCAGGAGAGACTCCTTCTCGTCCAGCTCGCTCTCCAGGAAGGCGTTCCTCTCGATGGCCTGGTTCAGACGCTGCTCGAAGTTCTCCAGAGACACGATGGTGGCTCTGAGGAACATTAAATATCAATCAAAATCATGAATCCAGCTAAATCTAAAAAAAACATTTGATTTGCTTTTCATAAAAACATCCTCGTGTGTGTCCTATTTTCTCATGAATGATTATTCAAGTACAAATAAGAGATCAATATCTCAGGCTTGTGCAAAAGCAGAATTGATTTTAATTCAGGCCACGAATCAATTGCATTTGAGCCACTGTTAATTATTAGAATTACAACTCTGGTAACGTATCATCACAGTTAGGGTTCGGTGCTTTTTATTCTGTTGAGCATTGAGACGGGTTCAGACCTTTTGGCTCTCTCTAAGTCATCGTTGGACTGTTCCAGCTCTCGCACGTATTTGTGGAGCTGCTCCTTGATGCTGCGCGTTTGTCCGAGGTCGTCCTCTAGCATGGAGATCTGTTTGTAGCTCTGAGAATACTGCTGCTCCAGCCGCTCCTGCAGGACGAGCAGAGGACCAGACCGATCACATGTATTTCATCTATAACACGTCGGCGCCAGAGCTCCACACGATTTAACCCAGATCTTATCATCCATTTTTCATTTCCATTTTGTGACCTATATATCCACATCCCGGTAAACACTGGCGGGCCTGACCTATATCTGCTGTTACTGTGGTGTCTGAATTCACATTGCTGTTTGCTCGTTCAGCACATTCACACGACAGTGAAACATTTAGCGTCGGCTGTGGTGCGGTGGCCTCGATCAGCAAAACACAGAAATATTAGATGAAACAAGTTTGCAGATATTTTCCTCATCGTTGTTTTCTGAGACGATTGCAGTTTTTTTATGTGTTATTTGTTGATTTCGTTGTAAAATCTTGTGTTTTCTTAAATATTGTTGTATTTTGAGAAATGTTGCTGTTTTCTAGGAAGTTGCTGTGTTTCTCTAAATTAGCGTTCTCTGAAATATTTTTCTATTTTCTAAAATGTGTTATAGTCTTAAACGTTTCGACTCATCGACTTTCTTTTTTTTAATGTCATGTTTTAAATAATCCTGGTGTCTTTTGTACATTTGATTAAAATTCTTTTTAAGTAAAAACTCACTCAAGTGTTTTTTGTCCAGAAATGTGATCTTTTTCTGAAAATGTGTTGTTTGTGTTTAAAACGTGTCACTAATGAGTTTCCTACATGTTAAACACATCCATGTTTTCATTCACACACTGCTTTAATCTGGAAAAGTGAAACCTGACACGACACAAACGTCTCATCCCGGCTGGAGACGTGATCTCGGAAATGTTACGCCTGCTTTTGGTGATTACTGAGTGAAAATAAGAATGACAGACACAACCTGATGCATCATTTATGAGAGTCGCACACATCAGCTGCATCAATCTGCAGCCTGCACGGGGCAGAGCAGGTGTTGAGATTGGAAGTCAGATTAGATCGAACATGAATTCACAAACTATCACAGCTCCAGGGCCGCGATCGTCTCCGAGGAAGTTTGGCCTCCGACAAACACTGGAAACAACTTCATCGCCTTCTCTTCTCGTAAATCTCCTCTGGATGTGACCTCAGCATCTGTGACCTCTCATCTAGAAGAGGCGACGCTGCAGGCCACCAGGAAAAATAAATAAGTGCAGCAGCTGTTACAGCGAGACGTTGTCCTCGCTCCCACGGGACTGCGCTCAAAGACGAGTGAGGATATAAAACAGGCATCAAATATTTATTTCAAGGAGACACGAGGACACGCTGGTTAATATGTTGTTAAACTAACGCATAAACAAAATGGTGGTCGCGTCATAAATTTCTGAGTGAAACAGCTGATGTCCTTTAATATGACACCGCAGGGACGGATTTGTGTTTTTCAGTATTCCTTATCATCGGATCAAATCCCTTTTTGAATCTTACATTTTACGTTTCAACATTTTATTTTTTGACGCAGCTAAAATCCTATTTCCTTGGTTGAGAATGCAGCAGCACGTCGGCCTCGTGGACTTCACCAACACGGAGGCAAAGCGCAGCAGTTACCTTGAGTGACTCCGCCTCATTCTTCACTCTGTGGTTCTCCGACTGCAGGTCCTTCAGACGATGCTCGGCCTGGCTCAGCTGCGCCTCCAGCTCGGCCTCCAGCTCCCTGCTCCCCTCCTGAAACTCCAGCAGCTCCTCCTGGGCCTCCTGGCAGCTGCAGACACAAGTGGAGTCAGAGAGGTTGGAATGTGTGGCTGGAGACACCATCATCCACTGTTACACTTGGAAAACAGCCCAAGTACATTCACACCTGATTCATCTCTTGAATGGAAGCAATTTAGGACGTTTCAGAATTTCCCAGTTTTTTATAAATGTAGTTCGAAACAATACATAGTCCTGTAATAATCTTCTCTTTCTTCTTCTCCCTCATTGTATCTGCAGCCATTTGGACTTATGTTAGATTTAGTTTGAGATACGCTCCCTGACACGTCATCACAGTTATGGAGGTTAACGGAATTTAGTTTAGAGAATTCAACAGTAAAATATATATTCAGGAACAAAACTGTGTTTTCTGTTAAATAGTTTGTCCACGTCCACACCAGCATCACGGTGTTTGAGCCCTTTGAGCCCTGGATATATGTTGGAGCGAGACAATTCAGCATGAAGCTGAAAGTGCAGGTGGGAAACTCAAACAAAAAGAAAGCTTGAAAGAAAAACTTAAGTTTCTGCGTTTGTGCTTTTTTTCTTTTCAGGTTTCTAAAATGTCTGTTTGTTTGTGGACATTCTGTCATGAAGAGACACGTTCCACAAAATGACATTTGAAATGAAAATCATTATTATTCATCATCTTTGGACCAAGTCGTTGTTTCATAATCTACAGAGCTTCATCTCTACATCCAAGAACAAAACAAACACCATCTTCCTCTCTGGAGCCACACAGACGTCCAGCAAACGTTCCACGGCACCAAGACAAACTGAGATTCGTCAACAAGGGTTTTACCAAGAAATGTACGTCGTAAACAGGATCCATATTTCACACATTCAGTCAGTTCTGTTCTCTCACACGCAGAGCGTCTGCAGAGAACATGTGACTGTGAAGCAGCTTTATCAGGACTCAGGGTTATATAAGTATGTTAATATGGTCATGGATGAGCACACATGGACGCACACGCACGTCTAAAAATGGAAAAAACAAACATCATGTGAGCGCTGGTGTTCTGGCATCACTTTTGGGAGCCATCACGTCGTCCATCTTTATTGACACTCTATGTTTTCCACCAGATGCGGACCCAGTGTGCGGGGACTCGCTCCCTCTTCGGCCAAAACATACTTTGAATTTGACTTATTGTCTGATTCTCACTGAAGATGCAAATCTTTGTCACAAATACACAATGTAGTTTGAAAACGTGTTGTTGGTTCAGGTGCTTGAGTGAGAAAAATACAGAATATCGCCCGTGTCCTGAAATAATGATAAGAAGTTACTCACCCTTTCTTGTACTTGAGGGAAAGAGCCTTCCAGAAGTCGATCTCCTCGTCCTTAGAGGAGAATCTCGGAGTCATATCTGTGTCCATGGCAAAGAAATCTGAGGGGAAGAGAAATAAGGAGACGAGAGTGATTTAAAAGAAAAGAGGAAAGTTCATTTTACACCAGAGCATTGAATCGATTGTGACAGAGCTGATGATCCAACAACATCTTCTGACTAACTGAGCTAATAAAGAGGGAGTATGATGCTGCTATGACAGGGGGTGAAACTTTAGATTACATGGATTTAAAGAAAGCTCTGCTCCTTGAGTCTAAACCTTCATAGTTGATTCTGTCGTCCAGTGAATAATTCATCTTTAGATTAGAACCAACCACTGAGGAGCAGATTGAAACAACATTTTACATTTACTATGATTTCTATCATATTTTAAATGTGAATGAAGGAAGATCCTGAGACTACACTGTAAAATCTTACTATTCATACATAACCTTCTGATCTTAATTCCTCATAGTTAGTGGGGAGGTTTTAATCCGAGGGGGAGATGGACCAGCGTGTTGGCCACAAATCACATCCGCTATCAGACACCAGAGAAAATATTAGAATAAATGCATTTCTAATATCTAAAATATACCCATCGCTTTTCTTTTTATTTGAATCAAAACATAAACCAGGAGAGTATTCTAGCGAGAGAGGAGCGGAGGTGATGCTGAGCTCAGATGATCCATCATCCAGATGTGCAGCAGCTGCAGCATCAGTTCGTCTGGTTCACGATGAAAGAATAAAATGAAATGTTCCTGTACCTGAACATCGGGAGGATCAGTTCATTCTGCCCGAGGACCTGAGCTGCTGAGGCCGAGAGTCTCCTCCGACTGACCGAGGACCTGAGCTCAGCTGGAGCTCACAACACAGCAGCAATACACCCCAAGTACCAAATCTACAGATTCACTGCCAGTGGGAACCATAGACTGCATTTACAAAAGGTTTTTCATTAATAATATGCTATAATAATCATAATGTTACATTTCATATCATGAATAGTCTTTGTGTTATTATGTATGGGAATGTACCTCAGTGAAAAAAGAAAGCAAATAATAAATATGTCGAATATTGGACCTTAACATTTATTATTGTCATTTTATTTCATTTGATTTGGAAATCATGTAATAACACAATTAAACTTAAAATTTAAAAATATTTTATTTGTAAAATGTTTTACAGCATCAAAAAAATAGAGGAAAATTTCAGTTTTAGTGTGGAGTTCCCTCTGTGATCTCACAGACGTCACATCCTGCGCGTCAGACATAGTCTGTGAGTTGATGTCAAGTTAGCGCCCCCTGCTGGTCACCCACTAGAACTGGGTTTGTGCCATGGACTATAAAAACCCTGAGAAACATATAAATAATTATTACTATGAACATATAATAATATATATAACATGTACACTATTATATATATTTATGTCGGTGGAATAATATATAAAACATACATATTATTTTCTTATATATGTTTGAACTTAAATTCAAACTGACAAAATTATGAGATTATAAATTAAAATCATAAAACAGTGAGTAAATTATAAAATAAAATAAAAAACTATTCTAAAAAGTCTGGAATTAGAAATCAACCTAATCTTAATCTTTATTTATTTCAACTTTATTAGATTAAAATCATGAATATTGTAAAATAAGAAAACAAATGTAAGTAGAGAAGATGAACAATAAGAAATCTACTTCAGAATGATAATAATAATAATAATAATAATAATAATTAAAAAAATATATTTTATTCCCTACGTAAAAAGGGGCGTGGTGGCGTCAACACGTCATCACCGGTCCTGTTGCCATGGTGACCGGGGACAACATGGCGGCCTCGCGGAGCTCCTCGGTGCTGAGGGAAAACATGTCGGAGGATGAAGGAAGAAACGGAACCGCGACGCTCGACGTGTTTCCGGGGACAGTGAGACAGGTTCGTCCGGTTGATCCACAAACTGTGAACTGGGTTTGAACCCGGAAACGGTTCAGACAGCAAACAGTGAAGTAGTTAAAACAGAAGTGGAGAATAACAAGAACACGATTCAGCAAATAACAACAACAACAGTAATAATTATAATGTTTTAAATCCTGATTACTACATTTAAAAATGTTTAAACTTAAAGAAGAGGAAGGGCCAAAGATCCTGAAGCAGAAGTACCAATAACACATTTAATCAATAAGAACAATAAATATAATGAGAACTAGTTTTTCCCAAACGTTTTGATTCGTGACCTCACAGTTTGAGGTTGTTTCAGGTGTTTCCCAAAAAAAAACTTGAATAATTTTTTTAATAATTCACAAAAAACTCAACACAAATATTTGAGAAGGCTTAAAATTGAATCCTAAGGTGTCTGAACTGTGTTTTCAGCCTCAGACCAGATTGAGTTTCTCTCCTTCATGCACCTCCTCCTCTGCTCCTCTACACTCACTCCCTCCTCCTGTTGGCTCCATCACCTGAAACACAGAGCAGCCTGGTCGGTAGCTGCTCCACAGCTCAGGAGAACAAAGGGTTACCAGGATATCAGCTTTAACAAACACTGAGGCCGGTAACTCGCTGAGCTTGAATTTAGACGAAGTCAGACGTAGAAAAGTACGATGGAGAGAACTGACATTAACGCAGAGGTAAAGAAAGAGGAGGAGGAGGAAACTGGGACTAGTTTATTTCATCATGTCATGGAGCAGAGGAAGGATCTGCCTGATGAAGATGTGGTTGGTATTTCAGACGAGAGTTGAATGTGTTGCAAAAAACAGGAAAACTAATTTGATACAAAGTTGAAATGCAGCCTTGTGATTTAAAAATGCATGAGCTGATGATCTGTGTGTATTTGTTGACCCATTCTGAGACTTCTCTTCTTTGTCTCTGCAGAAGATCGTGCTGCAGCGGCTCATAGTGATCGGCCGGCTCCCCCACGATGTCGCCGACAGGACAGAACTGGGAGGTCAGCCAGAAAATCACCTGAGTGCAGAATAATCCCAGAGTCGTTTCATCCTCAGCATCAGCTCGTCACTGTTTCCTCCAGTTTTCCTGCAGGAGACACGAACTGTTTTCACCTTCTGGAGAAAAAACCTCCTCACAATGTTGTGCAGTTGCTACAGAAGCAGAGAAACACAATCTTGTTTCCTTTGTTCAAGTGTTTTTACAGCCTCTACGCTCCGAATGTATCTGCAGGACGTCCTTGTAAAAACTTTGTGTGGCTGCTTTTCAAGGGATTCTTCCATAAAGATCACACAGAAGAGTCACAGTTAAAAACCTGGAGACGCCTGAACTGTGTCGACAGCAGCGCTGAGCGTTCACGTGCTCGTCAGGAGGCTCAGATTCTCTGCTGTCTGCAAACTGACTCGTTGCTCTGCTGTTTCCTTCACAGATCATTATGAAAGACTCAACTTCCAGTTGAGCAAACAGCACATATGGGATCACGTGACGGGCCTGCTGCTGATCTATCCAGCCTGCGTGCTGCACGTCATCGAGGTGCGTCTTCATCGATGACCTTTTTCACAGCATCAGAAGATGAGAAAGTTAACGAGGTGAAATCTTCTGCTCACGGCTTGTTGTGTTGATCTGTTCCAGTCGTCCAGGGACGTTCTGCTCTCGGTCCTAAAAGATCTCAGAGACACGCAACTGCAGACAGACGGGTAACAACAACACGAGCCTCAGACTGTGACTGACGGGTTCGGTTTGACGTTTGTTAACACTTCTAGTTTCAGGACATGATTGTGTTTTTCTTTTTAAAGATAAACCAGAAACATTTTAAGATTCAAACTGATTTGATGCAAATAGTTATAACATTCCATCTCTGCAGCTCAGTGACTGTTGAACATTATCACTTTGAACGATTGCTCCTCCGTTTCCCTGCTGAGAAGTTTTTAAACCTCTGACTCTGCTGCTCTCAGTGTTGTGGGAATTATTCTATCATCTCTCTCTTAGGTCGCTGCTGGAGACGGCAAAGGTTGTGTCCATGGCTCATGTCCCTCACAGCAGGATGTTCCAACAGTGGAGCTACAAGGTTTGTCTGGTACCTTTGAGCTCTTTGGATTCATCGGAGGTGAATTACTCTGTGTCCCTGGAAGTGGTTTGCTGAGTTATCGTGTCTGAAGGTGCTGGATGCAGATCATGTGGCCGGTGCCCCAGTGAAGAAGGGATTTGAGGAGGAGGAAGAGAGCACAGAGACTCTGGTGTGCAGTCTCATGTCAGCTCTGCAGAATCTGGGCAAACACCTCAGAACCTCCCAGAAGGTGCTTTTTTTTTAAAACAATGAAATAATCCTGTTATTGTCAGTTTCTCTCTCTGACCGTCTGAACTCTGCTCTCTCTCAGACTCTCCCTGGATCGGTGCTGGACGGCGCTCCAGAGCTGGTTGTCTCTCAGGACGTTCTGGGAAAGTTGTTGTCTCGAGACGAGCTCCCGAGTCCACAGCTGCACCTGCAGATGTACGATTCCCCCTTGAACATCAGCATGGGCTTTGGTAAGAGCTGCTGTTCGAGGAGCAGAGTAGAAACTATGAGTCACTTTATATTAACTGTGGATGTTTCCGGTGATGAATCACGTCACAGAAGGTGAACTTGACAAAGTGAAATATTCTGATTTGTCAACAGGACAAATGAATCGAAGCAGCTGCCTCACCACAGTTTAACTCTTTGGACAAAAGGTCAAAGGTAACGTCTCATCCACACTGGACTCATAAACCCTCATCCATTAAAAGGACCTTATAAGAAGGGCCTTTGCATAATCCACGTCTCGAACGTCCACAGTCGAGCAGCTGAGGTGGAATTATCACTGAAGCACCTGAACGCAGACAGGAACCAACAGGACGGGTTCATACTGACATTTAACATCAACCTTTCTCTGCCATTTGTTTGCAGACGCCTCCTTCTGTTCTTCTTCTCAACAAAAAGCACAAGAAATCCAAGTTATAGAAAAACATTTTAATTGTTTCAACTTTCGGAGGAGAATGGTCTTGATTTTTTTTTTTTTTTCTTCTTTTATCTTACACTGTTCCTCTTGGTGACCGGGAGACAACATGTCAAAGAAAAGACATTTCCTTTTCAGCATCTCTACAGTTTGACACAGAACTTTTAATTCTTTAACCACTGAAAGTGTTCCCTTTTTGTTTTGGCCCCCCGTTACTTGGAAACTTAAGCAAATAAAAAGAAAGAAGAGATGGGAGATGTAGTTGCCATGGCTGCATGCATGTAAAGTAAAAACCAACTTCTGTGCAGCACGTTTTTTATTCCTCATCGTCTAAAGTTTTAATTTCCTAACAGACGTCTGATGCTCTTTTTTTTTTTTTTTTTATTACTTGTGGACGATGCTGTAAAGTAGAAAATACATATGAGGTGAAAATCCAAAATTAAATCAAGAATAATTTACACAGTCGTGAAGAGTTGGACTAAAAAACAGGGAGCTGAGTTATTCTTCTCTTGCAAATGTTGATCTATTCACTTAATAAAAAAATAAATACACGCACATTAAGATAGGACCAAAGATGAGACATATTTCATAGGCATGATTAAAGAAAGCATGCTGCTGAGTTTCACACAGGACACGACGAATCAAACACCTTCCTCCCTCTAAAATTAGGACGTACACACTTACTTTTCTTAACTGAACACCCCTCTACACTTCTGTAACTTCAAACTAAGTCCACAACACACACAATCCGCCTGTATCACGGCCTATGAGGTGAACACATCGTCTATCACCGGTACATTCCACCAATTCTTTGAAAAGAAAATGAAAGGCCTTCGTATATTTCAGTGCTCAAAGGTCATGCTTACGAAAGCTGGAGAGTCTCTGCAGGGTTATTGTGAGTAAAGTTGTTTTGGATGGTTACTGTATGTACAAGTCTCCAGCTGATCCCGTTCCCTTCAGTGCAAAACGAAGAGCGGCACGTCGTCACAGAACCGTTCAACACAGCCGAGGTTTGAAATACTCCGATTAAAAACCCTGATTTAATCTGACGACGTCCTGCGATTGGTGACCTGCGGCGGAGCCGAGTCGATCCGTTCATCGGTCTGATTATCCGACTGGAGCCGTTTGTGATATTCAGTACAAATATTTCAAGTAGTTTTTCGAACAAAAAATCTTTTTTTTCAGCTTCAACATTTTCAGGATTTACTGAGACAAACAATTTGAAACACTGATAATGAATTGTAGTAAGTTAGTTATTGTGTTGGCTAATTTGTTTTGCCACATTCTGTAGACGATTCAATATGGAAATATTTATTAATTTTATAAATGTGTTGTTTTTTCGGCTCCGTGGACGTTAATAAAGATGGAGGACATGACCACTCCCCAAAAGTGAAGCCAGGGGGCCTCAGTCTCCCCCTGGAGGCTGAATGCAGCATAGCTCATTAAATGTCTAGAACTGATTTGTTCGTTTTTCTGCTACGTTTGGTTTGAGTTAGTTATTTGATTATATAAACTGAGCGGAAACGTCACCAGTCACTTGGGATTGGACGTCAACTCCATCCCCCTCGTATCCGGGATATTTCGGCTTCATTTCTCGACCGCGGGAAGAACTGGAGACACGTCGTCCATCTTCATTTACTGTCTTCTGTGTGTTTTCATATTTGTTCTCGGTTACGTTGTGGAGATTCATCATCTGTCTCTTGTCTCTGTTCACCTCTCAAACCCGCGGCGTCGTATAAACCCACAGGAACGTTACGTTAAGGTCAGGCTGAAAATGAAGCCTCACTGCGGTCGTGCCGAGGGAACGAGCACAAACAGGAGAAATGAATGTTCTACTGTTCAAACTGTTTTCAAACTGTCCACCGGGGTCAAGAGGTTGAATCTCAGTGGAGAATCTGATCTGCAACAAAAGCCCCTCCAGCTGTTTCAGTTAGAAAATCTACGAACTGGATAGAAACTCAGTCAGTGACATGAGATCTGATTCTTACTGTGCGGATTCTGTTTGATTCTATTTTGTGTTAATGTGGAATTATTGTGCTAGAACATTATTATAAGTAAAGTATAATGTCATACTGTTCATCATTAGTTATATTTCTCAATACAGCATTTGTATATCTCTCTCTCTCTCTCTCTCTCTCGGAACACGTATGTACAGAAGTTTCTGGTATTTACAAAAGTCCTATCGCACTTTAAAAGAGAGAGGACAGCCGAGCAGCACAGTGACATTGAGGCCATGTGTCGTGGACATTCTCAGGACAAGAGGAAAATCTTACAAACGTGGGAAGGTCACAACAAAACCCACCGCAAGGCAAATAACAAACTGCTGCTGTCGTACGTAAACCTCGTTACTCCAGTTCTCTCTCAAACTGAACCGCTGATTCCTGAAAAGGTTTTGACGCGACAGCGGGAAAATTCTGGTCCCGTGTTTAAACGCTCTCGATATTATTATTTCTGTTCTAATCCTCAGATGAGATTCACGTGTGGCGGAAACAATCACGACTCCTCAGACCCAGTAAAAAGTATTCAGAAATATATCTGTATAAATACTCTCATCAAAATAAACACATATACACATATCTTTGCACTTGCCTCTGGAATACAGACCGGGGGGTGGGGGGGGGTGAAAGTGAAGCTGTTTCCACAGGAGCTTTTCTGTTTTGTAATCTGAATTTATCTTTTGATTCCTGAGCGCACGAGGACAAACAATATTGTGTCTCTGCTCCGACAGTCGGCGATGATCCTGAGCCCGAAGAGCGTCACCAGAGTCGTTAACTGAATGAACTGAGACAATGTGTTTTCCTCTGTGCTTGTTTGTTTGTTAGCAGGATTTAGCAAAGAAGAAATGTAAATGTTCTGGTGACACACTCCAGGCTCCTCCGCATCGAACCTCCACAATCCTTCTGTGGATTCAGCTTTTCTTCAAACTGAAGTCAATCCTTGTTTGACGAAGACAAATGAAAAATCCCGACGTAACCAAAACTAACGATGAGCAGTCACGGGGAGTTTTCCACTTTACAGGTTTGTTTTATATATTTGCTCCCTGACAGCGTCCCTTTATATAATATGAGGAAGGTGGCGTCTTTATAGCTCTGCTGTGGATACAAAATATGATCTGATTTGATTTACAACGATAATCAAGTCATATACTCTGAAAATTGTACAGTATAAACAATAAATATTCAGCGGTTTGATATTCTGATTGAATGTAAATACAGAGAGAAGCGAGACTGAACCTCTTTGCAACCTGGTGCTTATTTTCCTAAACGTCTAAAACATGCATTCCTGTTTATGCTCCACGACACCAACTGTGCAACGTCATATAACACAATAAGCAATCACAACACACTCACACTGGCACACTCACAGTGAACACTCAGGTGGGACAGAAACTCGGGGTTGCATGCCGACACCCCTGAGGAATGAAGGGGGGAGAAAGAAGAAGAGAAGCCGGGTGTCGGCGGGACAGATGTACAGTACCGTGTTATTCTTCCTCACGAGGAACAGTCGCAGCAGCAGAGAGAAACTAGTTCCTCCTGGCAGCTGCTTCCTGTCTCGTGTGTGAAGTTAAAGGCAATATTGCAAGTCGATCAAATAAGGCAAAAACAAACATGAAACGCTTTTAAATAAAAAATAAAAAAACACAAAAACTCAAACGCACCGCTTCATGTCTTACACCTCGTGCGATTGTGGGAATGAAGATTACTTTTAGCCGTGTGTTCACCTTATTGTATTTTTATTCTGCCGGATCGAGTTCTGATGAGGAGCGACAACGAGTTCCAGCTGCAGAGGTGAAAGGTCAGTGAGTTGAGCGACACGGTGGAGGAGCGTGTCGGAGGGAACAGTGGAGGTGGGAGGACTCATCATAGCACTGTGCTCTCGGACTCTTCCTCCGGCTCTGCCCTGGTTTTGGTCAACCCGAGCAGCGCCACCGAGTTCCTGAAGGGGGAGATGTGGGGCAAGTCAAAAATACCGTCCAGCTCCATGTTAATGACGGGGATGTCCAAGTTGCAGAGAGAATCTGGCGGAGCAGAGGAACAGACAGGATGAGCGCAGAGGAAAATAAAAAACACTCTTTATGTGTTGTTGAGTGAAAAGGGATCATTCCAGATGTTGCACACATGAGTCATCAGGAGTCCACACCAGTGTCACAGGATGAATGAGTAAAATATGCACGACAGGGGAGCAGGAGAATAAATCAAATGCACAACAAACGGATGTGGACATGTGAATGTGAATGTGTCATTCTGAATCCTGCTGGTTTCAGTCTTCACACCAGATGTTGAACCAGGCTGAAGGATCATTAGTGAGGTCCGACAGATGTGGAGTGGGAACATCTGGTTATCACGAAGGTGTTGACGGCTTCTTAACTGTTGAAACTGTTGTCGAATTGTATAATCGCTGCTGTTTCCTAGCTGGTGCTCAGGAGCTACACCATTAAACAAACCAGCCCCGGACTAAATTTATAAACGACGTGGAGAAGTATTCAGTCAACTCCTACAACTCCCACAATGCACCAGTCATAGCTTCACTACCTGCTCTCACCTTCAGACTTTTTCTCCCCAGTTTAAATTCAGATTTTGTGACAAATACTCGATCGTCTCTCAGCTGGAAGCCTCTGGTGTCTGTTTCTAGTTTGACCAATCAGCAGGCTTTGTTTGCCCGCAGGTTCACAGTCTGTGCGGAGAGAGGACAGCGAGGAACACACCGACCGAAATGCATCGACTATCGGCTTATTAGTTGATCTGCTTTCATATGCAGATATCTAGAAATGTCATCTGGACCTAAAGCACCTAGAAAAGTAACAGTTTGAAACTCGAGCGATAAAAGAAACTGGTGGGACCGTAAACACTGAACGATGATTGTTCCCTGAGGTTAATCGATCATCACGTTACAGCCGGTGGCCCCTGAATATTTGATCACCTTGATGACAGCGATGACACGTAAGACAATAAGTCTGTTCCGTAAACAAAACAGTCTGTGTAAAATCAGTGGTTCACATCTGAGTCCAAAACGAATCCGCATCAATGTCGTTGGTGAAACTAAAGCTCTGACCTCAGTTTGATCAATAGCTGGTGCAGCTTTGGTGAGAATGACGACAAATCCACAGTGCAACACGTGATGGACGACGTGCACAGGCAGGGGGCGCTGACATTGTGGAGTGGAGTGGGTGTGTGTAGGGGGGGGGAGTGACTGGCAAAGCCTGGGGTGGGGTGGAGGGGGGGGGGTAATAAAGGCGTCCACCCTGGTCTGTTCAGACCGGACAGAAAAGCCATGCATCGCTCTCAGCCACCATGCAACGGCCAAGAAAAACTGCGCAGCTCTTTGTCGGAGTCTGTGACGAGCCGGCGACATCAGGAG